TTCCTCTGGCACAAAGCATGCACACTAAAGGTTTTGCTTAGGACTTCCATTTCAAGCTATAAACTGCATGTAGTCCACATTATAAAATTATTATTTGTGTAATGCTATACTACAAAGACAAAAAATAAGAGAAAGTCTCCATTCTCTTGAAATGGACCAACAGCATAAAATAAGACTGTGAAAGCAACGAGCGAGTAAAAAGCAATGAAGCAGCAGTAGCAGGAAGATATTTCAATAGCAGCACTAGATTAAATTCCATAATGTACTTACCTTGATGAACTGAACTATTCCATCTGGGACACCAGTTTTGCTCAGTTTTTGTAAATACTCTGTGATGTCGCTTGTTTGCAAGCCAACACTAACTGCGGCATAAAGCGAGTAAGCGGTCAGCTTGTACTCGTGGATGTGTGTTGGCCTGCACACCGGCTCAGCAATAGCAACTAAAAAATCCTGTGCATACTTGTAAACTGGAGAAAAGGCTTCTAGAAAGATATGGCCATCAGGAGCCTGTACGTGGAAGAAGAAAACATGCATTTTCTCACATGCTTACCAGTGCAAAGTGAGAAAAACTAGGGACTTTCCTGCTACAAAGCTGTCATGACATAGAATGACTCTGCTCTTTAGGAGGTAATATATCACTGCTTTCCTCTCCCCATCCCAAAAAAGCAATGACGCAAACAATGAAATTACAACAACAGACACACACACGCACAAAAAAAAAGAATCTAAGACACTAAGAAAATGCAAGATACACCCAATAAGTTTCAGTGCAACTGTTTTTCCCCCTTAAGTTGTTGATATATATGGATACATAGATACATACACACACACAAAACTACAAAAACTAACACAAGAACTGAGAGGAGATACATGACTATGAAACTTTAACCTTCAGCAAGGGCCTGGGCATTGCCTTGTCAGGGGCCTTTATATGACACTAATAAAAAAACCCATGCAGAAAGGTTTAGCCTTTCCGGACGGGCACTTCGGGCTTTCCCTCCTTTCTATTTTTTCCTGCAAACAAAAGTGCGGAGCTTCCCTACTCCTGGAGGCTGTTTCTCCCCGCCCCATCCTTCCTGCCTCGCTCCCCCGTCGCGGTGGCGCCGCTACCCCGTCCCGCCGCCCTCCCGGCCCCGCACGCACCACCCAGAGGGGCCGCGACGCGTGGTCGCCCTTGAGGGGCATTTGCGGCCGGTAGTCCTTGGCGCCGTACTCGTCCACGCGGGCGCCGCTCTCCTCCACCTGCTTCCCGGCCGCC